AAGATGTTTTCTCTGTGTGTGTTTGGCCCATCCTGCAAATCGATGAGAGCGCGTCTTACATAAGAATGTTGCCAAGCGAGGGTCAAGCGCGTTGTCCATTACAGGCTGTTCCTCGCTTGCATCAGAGTGTGTTCTGATACAGGAGGAGCAGGTGTGGGCTGCTGTAGCTCTGGAAGGTTTGCACTCCTCTCTTAGCGCTGCTATACGCTGCACGTGCCTCTTCTCATCGCTCCGCGCGCGCCTCATAAAAACAGCGCACGAGCGGGATTCTCAGCTGTCTGTGGGATCGACAGTGACCACACGCGACCGTTCAGCTCCTTCTTTACTAACAGGTAACGTGTCGTGTTCTTCGTTTCTTACAGCAGCGCTGTCTGTTTCTCTCTGCTCGTGTTTATCGTCAAATGCCAGGAAGCGGCACTAACTAGCAGAGCATCAGCCAGACACCACAGCAGTGTTTCTGTAGCATCGCTCGTGCTGGATTTGCAAGGGACAGCAGGACAAACATGGACCTATTAGACGCAGATAAAGGATACATTGACGATTTGGATACATTTATGCACTCAGTGACGAAATTCATGCTTCAAATATTCATTGGTGCAAGTGACAAAGATACATTCATGCATTTGATGCAATCATGCATTGGCACACTGACACGTTGATACAGGAATACGATGCATTAATATTACACTGATATAGTGATATGATTGATATGATTATACATTGATATACTGATACAGGCGATACACTGATACAAATGCTGCATAGATGCAATAATGCCATTAATACACTAACCCTTGGAGGAAGGGGTTTTAGACCCTCATAAAGAGGATTTCCATTGATTTTTTGCACAGTCAACCCATTGAGATGTAAACAAAGTCCTTCAGAATGTTGTGATGTGAATTGGTTCACTGGGAAACTAACCGACTAACCGATATTTCTAACTAAAACTACCCATTTTGTTTACTATCCAAAATATGCAGTGAAACTACACATGTCTGCTCTTAGTAAAACAGGTAAATCTGAAACAAAAAAGTTTTCTTTAGGGGCTGTTTTGCCTTAAAACACCTGCATGTACATCTCCATGAATAGATTTTAAAATAATGTTTCAGCAATCAGAGAACATATTTGTAACTGTATAACATAATAACTTTCTGTGAGGTAGCTTTTAGAGGCAGATGTTTGGTTCTTATCACCACCGCTGTGAAAAGTTTTGTGAGTTTGTTTCTTTAGAAACCAAACATTTCAAATAAAACCACTCTGAATGATTTTGTTTACATCATAACCATTTCATAATGCATAAATCTTGAAAAATCGGTGGAGTTCCCCTTTAATGTTGTACCATTTGGGCTAATTAACATGCTCTGATAAGAAAGCATTTTTCCGTCATTGCACCTTCAATGTGTCATCTTGCTTTTTACTCTGACCTGTCATTAGGTGTGGTAACCACCTGTGGTTAGAGCATTGAGCATTACCAAAGTAAACAGTGTTTCCACCAGCAACCATATGGATTAAAACCTAGCCAGTGCACTTTAGAAGGTGATAACAAACAGAGATGATATGGTATTGAAAGCAAGCTGCAGAAGAACAGTCCCTTCCAGCATAAGAGTCATTCAGAACTTTATAAAATCCACACAGTGACTACCAATTACTTAAGATTTGTAGTGACTACATACTACATGAAACATAATAAATAATGTAATCTTTGAGATTACATAAAATATCTAATATAATCTGATTATTTTGGACTATTTCTGGTCTGGCTACTGTTGGTTTTATAATTGGTTAATTAGCTTCATAAAATTCAAATCATTTTGCTCATTCTTTCTCTCAAATCCTTATCTAACTATTGTTATGACACTGTTATTATGCAGTTTACACTCATAAACTGAGAATAGTAATAATATTAGTAATAGTCTGATTGATGTTCGTTAATAAAAAAAAAGCAATACTTAAAAAATTATCCATAAAACAGTAACTTTAATCTGATTGCGCCTGTTTCCGAAGGTATTGATTACAAATCTCTGATGTTGGTAATCAGACTACGTAACCCATATTACACATAGTCCATTAGTGCCCAACATCGACCCTATACTGAGCAGTTAAATAGGGTTTAACTGGCCATATGTGAGTTTATCAGAGATATGTCATAGAACATTTGTAAGAAACGAAAGCAGATGTCACTTTGAGTGTCAGAATAGTTCTAATAGTTCAGCTAATCTCAGTGTAATCATGTATGTGGTCAGTGCATGTAACCAGAAGAACATGACAGGTAACAGGGAATCTAGAACACTTACTTTCAATTGTTTAACACAGATTGATCCCTGAACAGTTCCATTAATTCATTTGCAATCTACTGAATTTATTTCAGAGGTGAATATAGATAGATGCTTATGGTAATCAGGGATGGATAAAGAACCTCCACATAAAGTAAAGGTTCTAGACAGTGTCAGCTAACCATAAGCAGCTGCTCAGGTAATGTTAATGCTATGCATTTATTTCAGCTTGTAGTCGGACAATGAGTAGTGGAGCCAGTAGGTCCAGTGTCCAGGGGCCTCAGTGGGCCACAGACCCCACAGCCTGAGGAGGGTCAAAGATGAATGAATAGCTTTGTGAAACTATTCATTAATTCAAAACTAATAATTTTGTTTAAATTCTTTTTTTTCTATTCAATTCTTGTTTTTGTAGGTACTGCCCTATTGTCAGAGTGCAGAATGGGGTGGTGGTGAATAGAGGGGCTGCATCTGTGCCCAGAGGCCTCAAAAAATCATGAGCCATCTCTTTGCTTGTGTGAATATGACAATTTGTAGTGTGCTCTAGTTTTTCATACATTTTTCCAGTTTCATGAGGTTTTTGTGAGTTTCCTCTTGACAAGTATAACATCCATTTCCAGTGCACACATCACATCTGTTTCTCAAGTAAAAATACAGGACACGCGCTGTATCAAGGACAGTGAGAAGCACAAATGTACCTGTGTGTGTGTGTGTGTGTGTGTGCGTGTGTATGTGTGTGTTTTGTGTGTGTGTGTATTTAGTAGGGTAATACTGATGAGTCGCATTGGTTCTAGATGGGTACATGTATTATGCTGATTCTATCTCTTGCAGAACTGTTGGAGAGCTCTTGAGTTTTAGTAATCACTGCAGGAGGGGGTCTCAGAGCTTGGAGAGGTCTGCTGGGTCGTGAGCTACCCCTCACGCAAACGTTTCCTTCCAACCAATCATCATTTGAAAGGCTAAATGGTTTCTGTCCTTTTAAAGCCACAATCAGAACTCTGCAACCTGCAGCTTTGACTTTCAGTGATGTCAATACTGCAGGCCAGTTTTGCAGTTTTGACTATAACGTTATAAAACATACACTATGTTTTTACCATGTTCTCTGATAGCCAATCAAATTACACTGTTTGACAGTTCCTAATTAAACCATGTTATGACATAAGCTCTTACTGAATTATTGAAATGGTTGGCACTGGATGCCCTTGCCAGCTTCTTTAGAGACTTCTTTCACCAGTTTTTGTATTTTCTATCAGTTGCTAATTTGATTAGTAAAAAGTAATTCTAAACTTTGACTATATTTGAGAAAGGATAAAACATTAAAAGCAGAAATAAATTGATCTTTCCTGACCATCTACAAAAGAAACTCTGATTTCATTAATTGTTTAGTTAAGCATTAAATGCAAGTAAATTAACTCCCAGCACTCTAATGAATGAGTATTGTAAGTGGAAATTCGGCACTGAAATGATCACTTACAAAATAGGTCACTGTTACCCTGTGAGGGAGACATGAGGATTCTCACTCTAGCAGAAGGGATTGTCTTGTTGCTATGGAATTGATGGCCTGGTTGCTAAGGCGGCTGTGTATGGAGGATTCTGCTACACAAGGTCTTCAGAAGAGAGTAAACAGGCATATTAAACAGACATTTTGCCCTTGACAAATATTAAATAATTAAGCCCAAAACCTTTTTCAGCGTACTAAATTCTACTGAATTGAGAGTGACGCTCTCCTATCATGCTAATTACTTACAACGACTTCCCTCAGTGTCAATGTTTGAGGAAGATATATGTGTATATTTGTAGGGTATAATGTATGTATGATGTAATTGGTAATTTGTATAAATCTGTAACAATAGTAGATTTATACTGATGGACAAAAAAACAAGCAGACAGACTGACCTTGCAGAAGATATCTGATTTTATATTCTATTAACCATGGAAACTTAGAAAAGATCAGCTTCTGCATACAATAGGAAACAAGTATGTTAATGTCTTACATTTCTATGTGTTGCAGGTTCTTGGATGATGCACCTTGACATATTTGACCACCCCTGTAAGAGAGACGGTCTTCAATGAATTGTTGAATTTATCCTTTGCACTAAACACTCGACCCTGTCCTCAACCTAGAACAGTCTGCTGCAGTAACCATGGCAACTGCAGCATCCACTGGGTGAGTATAGTTAGAACATTCATTCGTCTTTTATCCGACATATGAAATAGTGATGCTGTGTTCATTTGTGAGTTTAGTGGAAATGTACCCCCATATTTGTCATGTCAATCACTCAGTTATGAGCATAAGATTTATATAACGCGTCATTGCTCCGTTTTGAAAAGATAAAGATTATTGGAAATGTTGAGAATCTTAATGTCAGAGTCTTAAATGCTTCTACTTTTCTCTATAATCTAATGGCAACTCTGAGCCCTGACCTCGCTGTGATTAAGTATCTGCTTGATTGATTATGTAATTCTTTGCTAGCGTCAGAGAAAAGTCAATTCATTGGATTCCAACTCAGATCCCACCTTGCCTGTCCTCTAGCATAGCAGTTCACACCTTCAATTTTCAGTGTTAGGCGACAGACGTTGCTTTTTCAGGTTATTTAGAGAGCTGCAACAGCCTTTATATGTCTAACAGACTCTTTTGTTTTAGGTTATTTCAGCTGTAGAAAGTGACCAAGGCAAGAAGTTCTGAGAGGACCATGATGAAGGAGTAGAGCTGATCCTTCAGGCATGGACTAACATTGCTTTTAATGGACATTGCTACCATGTCGTTGTGTAATGCAAGCTCTCTGGAAGGATGTGACCTGCTGGAGCCAATGGAGGCTGAGCTGCAGGACGTCGAGAAGTCTCTCATGCCTGCCATGCTCAGGGTGGCACTGGCCGCCATTATGATCTTCATGATCACCATTGGTTTCCTGGGTAACGCCATTGTGTGCCTGATCGTATATCAGAAACCAGCGATGCGATCGGCTATCAATCTTCTTCTGGCCACGCTGGCCTTCTCGGACATCATGCTCTCACTGCTGTGTATGCCTTTCACTGCTGTAACTTTGGCAACCACAGACTGGAGTTTCGGAGCAGGATTCTGCAGAGCATCAGTCATGCTTTACTGGCTCTTTGTCCTGGAGGGCGTGTCCATCCTGCTCATCATCAGCGTGGATCGCTTTTTGATCATCGTGCAGAGGCAGGATAAGCTGACACCACATCGGGCCAAAATTCTGATCGCAGCATCGTGGGCGCTGTCCTTCTGTGTGTCCCTCCCATCTGTGGTGGGCTGGAGGACAGCTGGGATGGCAGAACGGGCACCCCAGTGCATCCTGGGATACAGTGACTCACTGGCTGACAGGGGCTACACTGTGCTGTTAGCAGTGGCTGTTTTCTTTGTGCCATTTAGCGTTATGTTATACTCGTACCTGTGTATTCTGAACACAGTGCGGAGAAATGCGCTGCGCATCCACAACCATGCCACTGAAGGCAGCGTTGGACTCAACCATGTCAGCAAGCTGGGTCTTACAGGTCTGCAGCGCCCCCCGCAGGTTAATGTGGACATGAGCTTTAAGACCAGGGCCTTCACCACTATCCTCATCCTCTTCATCGGCTTCTCGGTGTGCTGGCTGCCTCACACGGTAGTGAGCCTGCTGGCAGTCTTCAGCCGCCAGTTCTACTTCAGCCCAGCATTTTATCCAGTCAGCGTAGGCGCTCTGTGGCTCAGCTACCTGAAAGCCGTCTTCAATCCTGTAATCTATTGCTGGAGGATCCGCAAGTTTCGAGAAGCCTGTTTAGACTTTATGCCCAAGACCTGCAGGTTCTTCCCCAAGGTTCCTGGCCGAAGTCGCAGACGCATAAGACCCAGCAATATTTATGTGTGTAGCAGTGAGACCCAGTCTTCAGTTTAGGATTTAGACCAAAACGTTCAGAGTACATCAATGGACACACTTTGTGTACTTTATTCATCATTTTAACACAGATGCCAAACATTCTATCCTATGTATTTCAAATGGTCTATGAATTTGAAATGTTGGCTAAAAAAACATGCATGTTGAGCTCTAACTGTTGGCAAATAAAACCATCTGTCGTAGTTCAGACATACAAAGAAAAATGATGTGCACAACAACTCATTCATGTGATATTTGGTCATCAATGTTTATCAAAGCAATACAAGCATATGTTCCTAAGCTAGGTCTTCATCTCATATCTGTTAAATAAATTATTTAAGAATGGGCAAATAAAGCAGCTGCCTGTTAACTTCTGTGTAAGAATAAACTGTTTTATGTGAAGTCAAATGATGAAATAAATAAAAAGTGGCTATTTTTTATTTATTAGTTATATTGTGTCACAGAACCCAAAAAGAAAAGAAAAGAAAAAAAAAAAGAAAAAAAAGAGGCTAAATGTCTCTTGTGTTCCATTCAGGCAGTCTATAACCTGTCTAAAGGCAAAACACAACATTTTTTAAACAAACAGCATTTTTTTTGTTTGTTTGTTTTATTACCTATGACAATGATGACTTCACAAACCTGTCACCTTGGCTACCAGTCAGACAGATTAAAGCTCTGCTGATAGCCAGAGTTTCCATGATTTGTCATGTGCACCAGTTGTTCAGAATGCTGCTCCTGAGACTGAAGGTCTGCTATGACAGAGGTTGGTACTGAAATTACTGAAAAGGTAAGCTTTCTGAATGACTTTTTGTCATGTATTTTAGTATGTACTTTTTTGAGTCTCTCGGGTTTTGTTCATGTAGCTCACAAAACGTCTGTTTCTCTCTTTTGCCTGTGATTGCCCTCCTCAGTGTCTATTAGAATCGCTGATTTTGCTGCATTACTTCCAATAAATTAAAACTTTAAAAAATAAACAGCATGAATATTGATAATTGTACTGCTAACATTAGACTATTGATGAAAATTGTCTCAACATTTGTGGCTGTATTTAACAGAGTATAAATAACATTTGATTTCTCAGCCGGTATCCATCTTGAGACCCCTGTCCTCTTGGAACGCAAAGTGTAGTAGCTTATGCCTAAATAAAATAAATAAAATAAAAATAAATAAAATATAAAAATAAGTCAACTTTTAAAAATAAATAAATTAATAAACAAATAAATAAATAACAGCAGTACCGATGTCTTATTTTTTCCTAATAAATAAGTTATCAAGACTAACATTTTGAAAAATTAAGTTAAACATTACATTACTAGTGCTTAGTAAGGGCTTTTATCCAGGCCATGCTGACTTTCATGCTGAGACCGATTTTCAAAAATTGAAGTCCCACTTCCGGTGTTGTGGGAAGTGGAAAGAGAAAGATGGCTGCCTACGGCGGCGGAGGCGACGGAATGATGAGAAAGTCTGATGGAAACGTGTCTGAAACGGACCTCCTGCTTCACCCCGAGCTTCTGTCTGCAGAGTTCATTAAACTCGTGTTACATGAGGTCAGTTCAGCTGTTCCTCTGTTGTTTCATGGCAGTTAAACAGTGAAGGAGAGGCTGAATGATCAGTGTTCAGTCAATGTTCAGTCAATGTTCAGTGGCCCGGTGGAGCTACAGAGCTGAGCTGAGCCACTGTTTACAGTCAGACCGCTGTCTGTCTGTCTGTCTGCTCAGCGTTAACATTTAGAAGCAAAGCAGTTTCACATAGCAGAATCTACTCACATTGCTCGCATTACAGTATACTACGTTGAAAGTGACACTGTCTTTTAGCGCTTTGCTCAGACGGCCAGGTGTAAATGACGTCCCGGCTTCATTTCCTTCAGCAGTTTCGTCGCTGCTGGTTTAGTCTGTTCCTGGATTACGATGTTTAGGGCTGGTTGTTGTTCAGAAGTTACGGAAATCGATAGTGGTTCGAGATCACTAACTAGCTAGTTTCCTGTAGGACACCAGTAGGTCCTGTCATGAAACCATCAACTGCATCTGGAATCAGTCCTAGAACAGCTGTTAAAACATTAGAGTGACTTACACTGTCATTTCAACCCATCAGTAAAATTCGAATACCGTTACTGACTAACAGACACCACCTGGAACCAACAGAAACTTTTAAAGATTTCTTTGATTTTTTCGGCAGGACGCAATGATGTAATCACTTGTTTTAGGCATTATTTAGCTACTAATAACTTTTTTTCATTTTTCATTTAAGTCCTGTTATGTTTTGTCAGTGACAACACATGGACTGCTGTGCTGTTGCTCACACCTCTGATTTTTGAGGTATATCATTTTAATTTTGACCAAAAGGGCCCTAAAAAGAGGAGAACAGAGCATAATAAACTTAAGTTTCTATACTGAAAGATGCTGGATGTGATGCAGGAGCACTGCAGTTCTATAAGTACCTCAGTACTTCAATAGTTTCTGGCCTGCTAAGTTGAGTTTTGGAAAGGTACTTTTACTCCTACTTGAGTGGCATTATTTCACAGAAGTAACAGTACTTTTACTGGATAACAGATTTAGGCTACTTTGCTCACCTCTACTTACGTCAAAGTGTGTTTTTCTGAGCTGCAAAGTTTCATTACAAAAAGAGAACAGTTAGTCCTGCTCAGTTGGATTTAAAGTAGTGGTGTATGTGAAACATTAAATAAAAAATAGGGTTGTTATGTTTTATGAAAATGTGTTTAAGTATTATGATATAAGTGTTATATCTTGTTATATTTTTGCCATAACACCCAGCCGTATCAACACCTCATTTTTGCCAGAAAGACATGCCCCTCAAGATGGAGAGCTGGAGAACTTCACAGTGGTGGTTCTGTGGATCCTGACAATACTGTACAGATCTTACACCTATACAACATCACCTGGATCCACTGAACCACTTGTGTAACTATTTCTTCATCTTGAGGGACGTCCGTCATTTCTAGCGCAAGTGAGCTGAGAATAGGCATCACATATCAATGTTATAAGTGTCTAACTTTATTTACAAAGTTTTCTCAAAGAAATGTAACATTTGTCATCATTACAAGACCAAATAAGACATTTGATGACTTAGCAACTTTTTTATGTATTCACTTTTCCAGAGAAAGATAAATACAGAAGATAATCAAGACCGTGACAGACTCACAGCGCTGTATATCCAGCATGTTATTCCTCTACCACAGAGAGAACTTCCCAGTAATAGATGGGGGAAAAGAATGGAGAAGACAAAAGCACGCCAGGGCTCGAACAGTGCACAGAGGTGATTGATACAGTGAACCCCAAAAAGGGGTCTTTTGAAATTTTCTTGACACTTGACACCATATGAACCATTCCTTTCTAAACATGTGTCTACAGCTCAAGCACAGATAATGGCAGGAAGAGGCCCCTGATTGTGTTTGATGGAAACTCCACCAGCACTAGCAGCGTTAAGCTGAAGAAAGCTGACGATTTACCGGCATCTGCAGTTACAGATCGCTTAAAGCCCCCACCTTCCAGCATCAATCTCTCCAACCCTATACGCAAGCTTTCAGGGTCTTCCACAAACTGTTCTCCATCCTCATCTGCTACATCTTCCACCCGGGCTCCAGCATCAACTTCACTTAGTACCAGGAGTCCTACAGGCAATGGCAGCCTCAGTTCCTCCTCTTTGTCATCCTCAGGACACTCCAGCAGCACAAACACAAAGCTGAAGCGTGGAGCACCAAGCGATGGGGTGCCTGGAAGCCCTGTGAGTACAGACAGAAAATTAAGGCTCCTAATGTGATTTTGTTTCTGTTATTGCCAGGTATCTGCTGTCTTTTCAAAGCTGTTAATGACATAGTCTTTCTGCAGCTGTTCACAGGATAAGAGATGTACTGAAGTAGAGGTAGTAGTTAAAATGGTCACTTTCCAAAGATTGGCAACTTAATCAGCTGGGACTTTGACTGTATAGTAAATCCTTGAATGTGCATGTATTCTGTCACGATTCACATTTGAATGTATTGTTCCGTTGGCTCCAAAAGTTCTGACAATTTTAAATGCAATTCATGTGTTTCTGCTACAACGACTAATTCAGGTGTTCCTCAGTGCCAAAGTGACTTGAGAATTTTCAGTGCCGGAAACAATGTTTGCTGACAAACTAATGCCGCCTTACACCAAATGATTTTTCAAGCAATTTTACTGTCAAAGGCAAATTTCCAATGTCAAAATAAAGGCATGAGAGTTTTGCTAGATTGGTGCTCCTGTCATCTCGATTGTTTGGTAAGGTGGGCAGGATAGCTGTCTTAAGTCACACAAATAGTGACGTGGACATTGTCAACAACCTATAGGTGAGCTCAGGACCCTCGCCTGGCCTGATATCTGAAATAGGTACTGTTTTATTGTGTTCTTAAGCAGAGCAAGTCTGATAGATTACAGTTACACCAGTAGTAAATCCTACTCTCTGTTGTCCCTGTTATTTTATTCAGTAGCAGTAAATTAACATGAGCTATAACTGGGATACATATCACATTCATTTTGACAATGTTGAACACTGTTTCAGTTATGATATGGAACTGGGCTTGCATGAGTTTGCCATTAGCTGTGTGTTTACCCCTCCTGAAATGCTTTGGTCTCATGCTGACTTTAGACTGGTCTGACTCGGGCATTGCATCGCAGTGAAGTTTCCATGTGAAGCATCAAATCCGTTATAAGGAGTGGTGTAAGATGGCAGCAGCGCATTGAATTTGAGGAATGTGGATGTCAGTATTACTAAAATCACGGATGTTAACGGCGTGTGAGAATCAGCATTTTGTAAAATATTAGCTTAATGATGCATGCTAGATTGACTTTATGATTAATCATAAAAATCAGAGCATTTATTATAGAAATATTGACTTTGCAAGACTTCATTTCAATAGGATTTTGCAGTGAATGCCCTCATAACAACCATATGCAGCCAGTTGAAGAGATGGGATGCTTTCACGCCAGGCCATTGTATAGCTTCAGCTCTTGGCTCATTTTTATCAACCTGATTGTACTTGATCTGCATGGACTGTGCAGTAGATTAGGTGATTTAGGAGATGGTGTTTTATTAATAGATGTTTTACTGAAAGGTGAAAGTGCTTTAGAGAAATGAAATGGTGTTTTTGAGAAATGTTGCCTCTCATGAATGTCTTTCCTTTTGCAGCAGGAGCTCAAGTCACCTGAGGTGAAAAAAAAGATTCAACATGTCACATGGCCATGATCTCAGATGCCCCACCAGAAGCCCTAAGCTGGAAGAACTACCATTATGTTTCAGAGGGTCTGTTTGCTGTGTCTCTCAGCTGTGTGCCCTACGACAAAGGAAGCCATAAAGGGAGAACGAGCTTCTGCATTGGAATATGGATGTGTTCTTCGTTCTACAGTACCACAGTGCACGGTACCACAGTGTATCGAGATTCTCTCATACATGTGCCAACAGTGGACTAATTAAAGAACTTTTCTGTTGAACGCAGTACCTCATACCAAGTACTTCTGTAAAAAGTGGTAATAGCTTCCTTTAGAAACACTGTTAAAATGTGCTTTTTACCTGAATAAAGAATGGCGTGTGTTCACTAAATCTTCTTCCAACATGCAGTGTTTTTGTAGAATCAATCAGAAGTGATTGGAAATTAGTCCATTTTGACTTTTCACCCATTTAAAATAGTTTTTTTGTTTTTCATTCTAATCACAAACTCTAAAGCACATTAGTGATAGTTAGGCTATTGATTTTGCCCTATCAGTAGTGCTTAAAGAGATGGCATTTGGAGTAACATTTTATTAGGATCCAAATAGAAATGTGCACAATTCAGGAGTGAACTTCAACTTAAGATTTTTATTGAGAGTGTTCAAAGAGTGGAGTCATTTGCTCAAGTATATTTCCTTTGTTCAACAAGGTTTTAAAACATTGACCCAATTTTTTCTGGCTGCCTAAAAACTGTGTTTACCTTCTCAACCACTAGGGGCTGCTATTTCTCGGTGTCCCTTTAACACATATCACTTTTGATTCATATACATTTTGGTAACACAGATTTTCCAGGATGCAACAGCAGAAAAGGCTCAGAATTGTTTTAATGTTTTTATTTGTATTCTTGGTTACACACAGTCGTTACTGGTAAATCCTCACAAATATAATGCCAGACAGAATCCTTTTGCTTATTCTCCTGTTAGTTAGCAATGTGTTAGGTCACAGTAAAACCACTGACAAAGAGGAACCAAGGGCTTGTTTATAAATGCTTTCTAACAAATTGGAGAAAAATGACTTCAGAGTCCGGATCTTTAAGTAGATTAACTTATTAATATACATCTTAATAGTCCATTCTTTTTTCTAATGTTAATATTTTTTGCGGTTATTTTCTAAGTGTATTTGTTTAATCATGAAGCTTTTACTGCTCATGCTATATAGAAAATAAATACCTATGGCAAAAAAATATCTGTGACAATTATTTCATCAACTACTGAAGCTGTTAGTGGAGAGGAAGTACATGGATTTGCCTGTTCCTATACGTACAGCATGGTAATTGCTGGTGTTAATAATTTTTTTTGTTATGATTAGGATTTGTATGGGTTCATTAGGGTTTATCCATGCTGCTTTGTTCTGCATTTTTCTCTGTCATGTCAGAATTTCTGTGTCTCAGATGTCTTTGCCGCACTCAGGGCACAGGATGTCATCTCTCTCGGTCAGGAAGCCTCGGCCCACGAGAGACACGGAGCACTTCTTGCAGTTGAAACAGTCGTTGTGCCACTGGCGCTCCTCAAAAGAGATATACTTGCTTCCTCCAAGGCCTACAGACCAAGAGTAAGAGTTAGAGACTTCAAGAACTGGATGGCGTATCCACAGGCAGGACTTTTAGTTAGCCGGATGATTTAAGGCAAAAGTCAAGCCTATCCAGAAAAGAGTGAAGGGGCATTCTTTTTGGACAGTTCTCACTTTGTGCCAAGTTACACAGCTTACTGAGAAAACCTGCGGTGTATTTAACAAAGTTAGATTCTACAGTTCAGCTCGAGAATTTAAGCTAGAAATGAGAACTGTACAGTAGAAATGGCTGCTCTTCTACTGGATAGGGTTGACTTTGGGCCTGACTAACTGAAAAAGCCTGCTTTGTGAAATAGCCCGCCAAAGCCATTTTGTAGCAGATACTTTGTGCAATGTGTACACTTAAAAATACAGGTGCCAAAAAATTTCTTTGGAACAGTGCTATAGAACAGTGGTTCCCAACCCTGGTGCTGGAGTACCCCTGCCCTGCACATTTTAGTGTTTACCCTGCTCCCAACACACCTGATCTAATAAGCTCATTATGAAGCCCTTTGTGACTTCAAGTGGGTGTGTTGGGAGCAGGGAAAACACTAAAATGTGCAGGGCAGGGGGTACTCCAGGACCAGGGTTGGGAATGTGTGCTAAATAACCGCTTTTGATTTGGCTCTGCCACCAAACATGATATTCAAGGTATAGCGCATCATTAGATGTGCAACAAAGAGCACTGCTATCTATCTACCCACCACCGATTTCAATACTCAGTTTAACATGCCCTCATCAACTTGGCCTCACCATTTCCCCCCAGGAGGTATCCAACTACACCATCCTAAGGGCTGTTCCATTACTTTATTAGCTCAAATAGACTTTGCAAGATGAGGCTTTGGAGGGGAGAGGGATGAAGTGAATGAAGTATTGTCTTCATGCCCAAAAAATGGCGTCCAAAACTGTTACGAAGCAATGGCAATAAAATATTTCAAAATACTTAATATTTCAAAACTGCTCCATTATACAACTTCATTACATTACTGTGTTAGCTTGCAAAAGCCAGCTACAAAAAGCATCTAGCAGCAACAAAGAGAAATACATGCGTTTTTAAACTAAAGCTTATTGCTAGACCAAAGCAATTATACACAAAAGTAGAGTTCTAGGTTTAGACTTCAAAAAAACTTTGTGTCACATAATTTGAATGGTTGGCTAATTAGCACAATAAGGCCCTGGTTGTTGCCAGTCCTCCCCTTGTGCTGTGAGTGGCCACTTGTGTAACATAGGGGTGACACACTGCTGAGTGTTGAGTATATATATGAATGATCCCAGCCTGCTTAATCTGTGTATCTCTAGAACTAGGAGGAGTGCTGAGAAAATGATTGCTGACTTATCATGCCCTGGCCATCCCCTACTTTAACTCCCTTCCCTCATTCCTCATGCCATTATGAGCAATTAATGCACATAAGCAATACCCAACACATCGTTTTTGTAGTTGACTTGTGTAAATGTTTACAAGTGACATTTTTCATGTGTGCATGTGTGGTAGAATTCAGGTCTCTGTCTGAGTGTGAAATTTCTGTTGTAAATACATGGAGATGAATTCATCCCAAGCAATCACTACAGTAGTAAAACATGCAATGTATGTATGCATGATATTATTTTTCCATAGTGACATATGGAATATGTGCCAAACTGAAAAGCAAAACCTATATTACATAGTTTGTTTTCACGTTGCTTGACCTCTTTACTGAAAAAACAATTCATGAGGATTTGCATTCACAAAACCAAATGCTGAATTTGTGTCAATGAAATGTAATCAACACAGGATGAAATGTAATCAACACAGTTTTCCACCATGCGGTACTTTAAACAGTGTTAAATCAATGAAATGGATCTTTTACTTTTCTTTTTTGAAACATTTTCCCTATTTAAGTGTCCCTATTTAAACACAATCAAATGTGTATTGTATTTCATTGCTTTCACTGTTATGCAAATACGTTGTTTTTCAGTAAAAAAGGTCAAGCAACTAAAAACATTGTGGTAAAAGATTACTTCTATGTTACTCTCTAAAACCTGTACCAATCTCTACCAACTCTACCGCTCTGTACATCCAAATAACCATGAAGGAGCCATTTGTTTTTGTTGTATAACTAAACTGAACAACTGATTTTCTCTTGGTTTTCCCACTGGTGTGCTTGTGGATGAAGATGCGCGAGTACCGCTGATGGGGCTGGTGCAGGAGGCACATTTCTTGGCATACAGGTTGCAGAAGCAGTTGAGGCAGTAGGCAAAGTCATCGCGAGACGTGAAGCGCTGGCCAGACAGCTGCTGCTTGCAGCCAGTGCACAGGAAGCAGTCCTTATGCCACGGCTGATCGTGGTAAGTCACTCCTCCAGTGGTGATGGGCTGGAGAAAGGGGGAGAAAGAGAAGCGAGACATGAATACCCACACAGGGCTTCCATGTGCATTCCTGAGATTCTCAGCGAGCTCTTAATGACATTTGCTCTCGCACTGAAATTCCAGCCTATTTTCAGCTCTTGTGAGATGGTAGATCAAAATGCTTCTTTTAGACATTTGTGTGTTGACCATTTTGTCACTTTTGTTGCTCTGATGTATTTCTTGAAGGAACAGCTTGCAGGGTGTGTTATCAGTAAACAATTCAGTAGGTGTTAAAATCCAGCGTGTGGAATAAACATGTTGCAATAGGCTGTACCTTCTTGCAGTGCACACATTGCATGGCGAACTGCTTCTCATAGCAGGGCACACAGTAGTTATTGTTGTCCTTGGGGATGAAGCTCTTGGTGCCAATGGGCTGCTGGCAGCGCTTACAGGTAAAACATGTCTCATGCCAGCTGTTGCCCTTATGCTCCATCTTCCTGGAGCCTGTCAAAATAAGGCAAAGAGATGTACAAAGAGTCAGGGTAGTGGAGGGGAAAAATAGCATGTCATGTGCATGATGTCATGAACATTTTTGTACTACATACATTTTTAAAACTCAAAGATAATCCTAGCTTTGGATTGCTTTGTACTAGACAAATCCATCTGCATGTGATCCATAGTCAGATCCATCTGAACCTAGATTACTAAAATGCAGTTTTTGGAATAGAAATCATTGTCAAAGATGGTTGTTCAAGCGCTCTTTAGTAAAGGCAATGGTTCTATTTAGAACCATGAGCTCTATATAGAACCATTTCATGGTTCAGCTATTGTTATGATGTCAAGCTTGTTACAATAGCAGAACCCTATGGTGCTACATAGAACCATTTTCAAAAAGGTTTTATATAAACAATCTATAACACTTTCTCCATCAATCTGAAGAGCCATTCCACCATGCAAAGAACCATTTAAGCATAAAATGGTTCTATATCGAGCTAATGGTTCTAAACAGAACCATTGCCTTTACCCTTGAAGAGTCATCTTTTTTAAGTGTATTTTTTAACCTTGCCTCAGAGCGCCCAGAGAGCCCAGAGCGAGTCCAAAAAAAAAGGAAAAAATCCCAATGCCGTTGTGTAAATACAGGGCGGACAGAGCTGCATTGTTTTATAAAGACTCTGGCTCGATTTTGATCTTTCCTGCTGCTGAACTTTAGATTATTCACTCTGAATGGGGAGTGCTTCTCACAAGACAGTGAGAAACTGGCTTTGTTTCACATACCAAAGGCAGCTCTTATCTTTGTAATATGCGGCCTGCCTTATTCGACTTTATACAGACTTTCTGTTATGCACGTTTATAAAATGATTTTGTAATAACTCACATTTTTTAACCAGCATGACTGCTGTTGCTAAAAAAATACTTTTATTTTATTATTTGTGTCATAGTTGAGGTGCTGGTATATTTTGTAATGGACTGAATGAGGGCAGGTTGATGATCTGCAATATTTCCAGTGGTGAAGAGATGAAAAGGTGTAATGTGCTACTTTAAAGTCATATTATATTCCTGCACTGACTTATTATCTCCTCTCCATAAGTCCTAGGCTTTTGGCCCAGTCTGGAAAGCAGCACTTCATCTTCTCTGTAGAGACTAAATTGGTGGATGAATTGTTTTCTTTTAGAAGGGGAGTGTCTGTATTCTGTGAAAAAGAATATTAATATAAAGTAAAGCCAGACGATAAGCTAAATATCTGCTTAACTCCCACACTGAACTGTTTCTCACCAGGCATGATGGTCTTCTTGCACTCGTGGCACTTGGAAGAGTACTCATTGGAGTAGCACTCAGTGCACAGCAGTTGATCATCCTTGGTACAGAAGGGTTTGTCCACCAGTGAGCGCTTGCACTGGAAGCAGTGGAAACACTCCTCATGCCAGTGGCGGTCCTTATATGACAAGTCCTATGGCAACAAGAAGGGGACCATCATTGGGTTTGGGTGGTATAACAGTTATTTCAACAGTATTTCAAAATTATGATGTGTCGAATTTTTATCGTGACGTGTCGGAGCAGCCAAATAAACACATTCCACCCATTTATATTGTAATTGTGTTCAATGGATGTTTACATGTTAGTTTTAGGTTGTACAATCTTCAGCATGTATTCACTAGATTCATTTTGCTGAGGACTCTTATGGTAGAGGGCAGAACAAGGAGCTGCCCCTCAGTGTGCATGAGGAAAGAGAGTGAGAAATGAGAGACGAGAGCTGGGTAGTAAACAAGCTGTTAGAGAAAAGAAAACTCTGCTTATATCCAGCATCACTATGACCGACAACAGCTGGAAAATAAAGCACCATGACTTGTGCGAAAGCTGCGTCTCCTTTAATAGGGGTGAACACTACAATGTTTTGGAGGGGCTTACTGATTGGTAGTGTGAGCTCACTAATGGCAGCACTGATAGAAAAAGGGGAAAAATCAGAGTAAGGAAAAACCTGACAAAAACTAAGCATTATAGTAGTTCAGCGACAACTAAGAGTGACACACCACCGAACATGTTCTATTTCATCTTTCACTCCAGTGCTTTTTCACTCTTATGCCCTCATATATCCTCTAAATGAGTGTCATTTTAGCATTAGTTAGCTGGACCAAAACCTATGCTGTGGTGAGTGGTCATTGGCCTGTTAACTAAGCTATTGTTAGCTAAGCCAAAATGCTACATTTTGAAACCTCATAGAACAGGTTTGATCTTGGCTTTCTGTCACTCCAACGCCAGTCACTCGACATGTTCTCTCTCAGACATTACCTGTGTTGTGTAGAGCTGTTTGGGTCTGTGCTTGCTCGCTAAGCTAAAGTTAGGCTAGCCGATCAGCCGAGCCAAACACCACGAAACAGGATTAATTTAGCCTTACTGTCTTTTCAACGCCAGTTGCTCAACTTCATTCCCTCAGAATTTGTATCATTATAATCTAACCTTGTGTCTGTACTTTAATTGGCCAGAATCCATGTTCTGTGGTGAGCAGAGCTGTTATCATGCTAGCTACTCTAATGCTACCAGCTTGTCTTTCCTAGTTAGCAGCATTGCTTAACATTTAGCAATTGTTAGATAGACAGTTTGACATTTGTTAAATGATGGCTTAAAAATTGTGCACTGCGTTCACTTATTTGGTGACCATCTAAGCAAATTTAAATTTGTGATCATTTTTATTTTTAAATAATGCAGGACAGCAACATAAAAGTGATATAAATGCTTTTACTTCACATATGATGCTTTGAAGAATTTTTTTCTTATATGGTATCTAGGTAAGTACAGCCAAGCGAGCTCTCCCATTGGTTAGGCCTTCATGAGCTGAACTGAAGGCCTAAAATGTCAGATTGACTAGTATAATTAGGAATCAACTAGCCGTATCAACCATTCACATTTTGATTTACAATGAGTGAAACCAATTTCAAGACAAAAAAAAAAAAACACACTAGGCCTTCTGAAAGTCCTGACTGTCTAATTAGGTTTTAGTCAGTTTTTAGACATGGAAAACAGCAGCTGAGTCACTGTAAAGCTGCTACATATAAGGTAATATATATATATATATACATATATATATATATATATATTAATATGACTGGCATATTAACATATTTGAACAACCAAATGTCTGTGTTTTATCTAGAATTGCCATAAGAAGTTAATGTGCATTGTCATTAGCTAAGTGCGAACATACTACTAGTCTATATGAATGCTACCAGAAATTAGCATTGTAGGCATTTTTTTTTCTTGACATTTATGACCCAAACTGATCATAACAGTAATTGATTTATTTATAGTGTACCTTTTATATCTAAAAATGCATTTCACAGATGCTTCATAGTAGATTAAGATAAAATGGTAAAACTGGAAAAAAAACACTGAAATCAATCAGTCAAGCCTAAAACATGAGCCTATAAGAAGTCTGTAATAGATTAATCCAATTTTTTGTACTTGTTATTTGTATGAACAGTACACATAATTTAAAGTACTATCATCCCACAGAAGCCTTTATATGTGTTATATATAGTGTATATTTGCTTGACTTTCTTCTCTTTTTTGTTTGTATAATAAGCAGCAAGTTCTTATTTCACTCAGGTTTGATGTGTTGCAGATGAGTGTGTTTCTATTTCAGTTACCCTGCTGTTGCAGCCAATGGGCTTCTTGCACTCTTCACAGGTGTTGGAGTAGAGGCTCTCATAGCACTTCACACAGTAGGGGTTCTCTTCCCGCAGGACGTACTTCTTCCCAAACAAGGACTCCTTACAATAATGGCAGTCATAGCGCTCCGTCATTCTCCCTCTTGTATTCTACTCCTGCCCAAAAAAGGTGATGTGTGAGACAAAAGTTTGATGGAGTGTGCGTTGCGTGTGCCAGAATCATTAGAGAAGTTAAGAATGTTTTGGATGGAATGAGAGAGTTTGGTTGTGTTTGTTGAGGTTGCGTAATGCTGCTGGGAAAGTAAGCAGTTCAGCATATTTTTTTCCCAGCATGTTCTTCAATTTCAGGTTCATGAGATCAGATAATCAAGTATGCAGTGAAATGCCAGACTGTTAGGTAAGCATAGTTTCAGCATACCAGTCCACCATATTTAACTGTCTGGCCATCAATCAAAATCAGTTTTTGTATCCTTTAATACAGGACAGCAGGACAGCAGGCCTAGACGCAGCATAGCAGAGGATGAAGCTGTGCGACATTCCTGACCTTACGATGTCACACCATAGCAACCGGTCCATTATCTCACCTCCATTTGTCAGTAAGGACAATGCTTTGTGTGTGTGTGTGTGTGTGTGTGTGTGCGTGTGTGTGTGTGCGTGTGTGTGCGTGTGTGTGTGTGTGTGTGTGTGTGTGTGTGTGTGTGAGTGTGCGTGTGTGTGTGTGCGTGTGTGTGTTGTTGTGTGTTAGCTAGGGTAGTTTTGTGTCATTTTGTACCTGTTTTATTAAACCTAAAGACCAACTTTAACAGCTAAAGACAGCTAAAAACAATCTTGTTTGCACACAAATTGGTGATTTCCACTTGTTTCCACTTATTATATAGAGCATGAAGCTGTGTGATTTCTGTGTTTTATATTCAGCTCCATAATTATTGGCACCCTCGGTAAGAAGGTCATGAACAAATTTGTGGTTAATTAGCTCAACCTCACAGTAAAAACATGAGAAATATTTAAACTTTAATTAAGGTAAATGTAGTCTTTAAGAAAACTATCAATAAATAGAAAAAGCACATCACAAGATCACATATGTCATAAGTATTGGCACCCCCAGAAGCTCACATGAACAAAATGTGACTGAAGTGTTCAGGACTTCTTAAGCGGTCATCCATGAATTCTTGTTTCACTGGGGTATAAATAAGAGGCAACACATATGCCAAATTCACATAGTCCTTCATGAACATTATGGATCATGGTTGGATCTTCTAGCTGGACAATGACCCAAAACATCCTAATCCACAAAAAATGGTTTAGTGACTACAGAAACAAGCATTTAAAATCCCCTGACATAAACCCTAAAACCTATGTAGTGAACTAAAGAGAAAAATCTGAAAGAAAGGACCTAGGACCCTGAGGAGTGCTTGCTCAGTATTCTTTCATCTTAGAAGGCATCATAGGAGAAGACTCATTGCTGTTATGTTGGCATATTGAAGCTGCACAATATTCTTAAAGCAATAACTGTGAATGCTTTTGTTAAAAAATAATAACAAGGATATTTATTTCCTTAGACTTTCTTAGACTAAATTAACTTCAGTTAAAGATTAGAGTTTTCTAATATTTTCAGTGTGAAGTGAGAAACATAAAGTTGTTTTTCTCTTACCTTTTTCGCCCATTTATATCAATGGCGCCAACATTTATGAAGCTGACTAAAAATATGAAATGATGATGATGATGATGATTATTATTATTATTATTTTTATTGTTATTATTATTATTATTATTATTATTATTATCACAGTGAAATTTGTGGAAATGGGTGATTCAATGAGCTGTAAAACAGATTAACTTAAGTTGTGTTAAAGCTATGAGAGTGTAAGCAAACAGGCCGGGTCTTGGCAGGCGGTGACAGAGACTGATAGAGAGTGTGATTCCTGCTGAATGATGGAGAAAGTTGAATGGTGGCATGCTGGTATAATGACTACTCACGGCTACAGCTGTCTCAGTCCTGGCCCTGTTAAGCCCCTCTGCTTATCCCTCCCATGAGCCCTGTGGCGCTGTATCGCGTCCTGCCGGGTGCCAGCTGTCCTGACTGTCCTGCCGTGTGCCCTGCTGCTTCTGCGCCGTGTGGTGTGTGCGTCCCGCACGCGGCTGCCCCACTCCTCAGCCCCCTGCTTTCTCACTGAGCGAGCCTCATTGAAGCCCTGTGCTGCCAAGGCTGCACTTCTCTACCAAATCCCCTTCCACAGTTTGACCATATAAGGCAGCAAATGCTGGAAACTGGGAGAAGCATGCACTCGTGCTTAAATTCCCTCTCTAAATTCTCTCTCCTCTCTCATTTGCGCAGGCTTTCACTCTCTCCCGTTCTCTCGCTGCCCCCCTCTTTTTTTTTCCTTTTTTCTCACTCCTTCCTGTTTGTCTTTGCCCTTTTCTGCTCTCTCACTCATCCAAGCTCTCTCTCTTCCTCCAACTGGAAAGATATGGCTCATTTTTCCAATAGTTTGTGTCACACTCTGTCTCCTATCTTCTGTCAGAATAGCGTGCTTGTCATTTGGCCATATTTCCTTCTTCCTCCTTGTCTCTTTCTATTTACCCTCCCACACAGTAAAATCCTGGGGATAGAATTACTAAAGGCCTAAGCACATGGCAAAACGCACAGACACTCACTATCTAGCCATTTGTTTTGCCTCAGCTGTCTACTGCCTGTCTAATGTGTCAACTTTTGAGCACTACTTATTTGTCTTGACAAAATATCAGCACAATTTTCATTTTCTCCCTTCTTCTCTCTCCTTTTTACAGTCCATTCCTCCCAAATCTCCCAGTCCCTCTTGTCTCTTTCTTATGCTAGCAGATTAAATATAGCTTGATCCCTAAATAAAACAGATTAAAAAGATTACCAGTATCATGGCAAACTATTTTGTGATGTTATTCAGCTGTTGTTGGGATGAAATGACATTCAGTCTTTGATCCTCGAGTATAAAGTGGTTCTAGATTTGGACCTAGTTGGCTCATCTGCAAGAGAGGGAGTAGAGTGTACCACTACAGAGTAATATCTCAGTTCACTTTTAACCAGCACCAGTGACCTACAGAATGAGACAAGCTTTCAGTCTCATGGTTTTCAGCAGAATTAAATTATGCTTAGTTTGTTGCTGATTTAATTATGTTTGTAATGGAATGTTACTATGTTATAATTCTGGAAACATTATCACAAGACACATTTGGCCAAGGGAATTGCTTTGGCTCCAGAAAGAGGCCAGACTTTTTGCCCTAATGCCCATATTTCACGTTGTTTATCCTGTTTTTTTTCCCCTCAACTCTAGCTGTATAACATTGGTGTAGTTCTAGTCACCAAAAATTTGTAATACATTTTTACATGACCATTTTCCAACAGGTTTTTGTCATGCTTTTAAGACTAATGTATGTAAATAAGCTCTGTTTTGATTGGCTGTCCTGTGTTGTGACTGTTGTGAGCAGTCTGGGCTGGAATGCTTATTATAACTTCAACATGAATGAGTGGAGATAAACTGCTATATGACTGACTAGATGGATATATATAAACATGTTGGTTTTCACTGAAGCATTGAACTGAATGGGCTGTTTTTGCAGCTTAATTTCTATTTATGGACTTTATGGACTGAAGAGTAAGCCATACAGTGTTTACGTACTACATCAAATGCTGTGGATCTCACAAAGTGAGAAAAATTTGGCTTTCCATTGTCTGGGCCCTTTAAAGCTATGATAATGAACAAAAGATTGATGAGCTACAATCAGTTTTAATGATCATGGATAGTTAGACTTTGCTGTCTGTTATCTTTATCCATTCATTATGATCTCAAAGTTCATCTTGTTATCCAGTTTGTTTTTAACAAATTGTTTTGTTTCTTTTTCCAGGCCACTTTTATACCTCTCTGTTTATACATTAACTGCATTTATCAGTAGAGAACCAGTAGTAAAACATCTTTGAATGGTAATCTTTTTCTATCCTTTCTAATACTTTATCCCAAGGGCACGTTTTACCTAAAACCCCAGTAATATCAGACCCCTCCTGTCAACACTCTTTTGTGATATTGTGTTTTGGCACCCGCACTCTCCGCTGACCTTGAGACCTTTCTGTCAGCTCTTTTAGGCCCCTAATCTCATACCCTTTTACTATCTCTGCCTATGTTTAGCAACCGTGCTACCACAGCCACAGAACCACATCATGCACACACCAGCTGAGAGGGTAGTGCAGCCCCACACAGGACGCTAAATGCTTTTAGAGGCCAGAGCAAAAAAGAGCACTGGAAGACAGGTGGAAGGGTCTCTCGTGAGATTAAGACTTACACCCAAAACCACAACCAGATACATGCCTATCCACTCTTCTTCTCTATTGGTATGCACAGAGTGGATGGAGGGAGGAATCTGACCACCCAGTATGGGCCTATAAATGCCTCTGTAAATTAAGCCTAGCATTTTCCTATTCAATGCTGAGTGTCACATACCATCCCAGTGGCATCTACACTGACAGAAAACAAGGTTCTATGCAGGTACATTTTTTGCTTCATGAAGGTACAAATACTGTGAGTGAACCCTCAATGGTACGACTGGTTTTAAATAGGTTTTCCCAGAGGAAAAGTACATATTTGTACCTTTTCATCATTTACTGATAAAATAAAAGGCCTGGAGTCCAGACAGAGCGTATGGAATGTATTGTGATGAAATATGGTACAATTATGACCCCTAACTAAAGGTACACACTTAAAAAAGTTCTTCAAGGGTTCTTTAGTACAGAAAACAGTTCTATATAGAACCATGAACACCCAAAGAACTCTTCTTTGCATCATGAAAGGGTTCTTCAGACACAGTGTGTTTTATATGGTTCCATATATAGAAGCTTATTGAGAAGGGTTGAGTATAGCATCTCCATCAATCCGAAAAACCATTTCACCATGCAAAGAACCTTTCAATCATGCAGTTCTTTGAGTGTTCATTGTTCTACATAGCCATTTTCATTGCTGAAGAACCCTTAAAGAACCATCAATTTTAGAAGTGTACTGAACGGGTACCATTGAGGGCACCACCCCAGTGAGACTTCAGTACTTTTTTTCTAAAAGTGTATACAAAGCCTATACTACAAACTCTATAGCAGCAGGTCACTGTTAAGGTTTACACATTGTAGGTACATACTCTGTTTGAAATAAAGGTTCTGTTCAGGTACATTTTTCGTTCATCAAGGTACAAACAATGTAAGTGTTCTCTCAAAGGTAAAACAGTGGTTTTAAGATCCAATTGTATATCTTAAATGAGTTTTTCCCAGGTGAAAAATACATATTTGTAACTTTTCATAACCTAATGTTTTAAAACAGAACAATAAAATAAAAAGCCTGGAGATGAGACGGGGTGTGTGGGTTAATACAGCTTAGAAAATATAATTTCAGTGGATGACATTACAATTATGTTCCCTGACATGTACTGAGATGTACCTTTGAGGGTATCACCCCAGTGACAAGAGGGGTACTGCCCCAGTGACAGTTTCATACCTTTATTTCTGAGTGTTGTATGAATCTCATAGCTGTTACTGAGTAATGCCCTACCTAGTTCAGATACAGTTTTTTCCCTTAACTAAATAGCTGACACTTCTTTCTTTTCATTACAGATGTTAATGCACCAAAGTCAAGAACCTCAACCCCACCCTGTCCCTGCTGTCTACATTTTAAACAATGCACTTAACCTTTCTCTGACTTCATGGCACTCTCAGACAAATAAGCTGATGTTCGGTGCATACCAAATACAATTTAACCTCATGAAAGAATGAGCCATCTGACTTGGCTAGATGTTTTTAAAAGGCTAAGCAATAACATGAAGTAAATCGTCTGGCTTTTGCTGGTTTTACGGCTTTATTAAATCTCAGTGTTCCAAAGGAAGGCAGAAAACAGTCACTTTGCCTATCCAGATACTCTTTATAAGAGCTTCACACAACATATAATATATGAATATACAGGGATTCTTTCTACCTGACTGCAGAAGGACAGTAGCTGAGATGATAGCTCTACTGATGAGGACATGAAGAGGAATTTTCCAGAAATTCTGTTAACTTTCAATTTGGGTAATATACTCAATGACCAGAGCATGAATAATACAGCCTTTCAGTGGCAATGCTGCATCCTTTGGTTCACATGTGGTTTGCATATTTGGTCATTTTTGTGTTTACATGAAAGTGGAGTGGCATTACAATGGTTTTCTTTTGGTGGAGTTAGTATACAGTAGTAGTGCATTGCTCTCTTCACAGCTATTATCAGTATCTGTGAGTTAGTGATGTCTCTGCAAAGGTAAAAATAGTATTTAAAGCTACAACATAAGTTACAGTTGAATGTTAGTGTTAGTGGCCTACCTCTGCGATCCTCAGAGTGCAGCCCGCCGGTGTGGTGAGTCTGTCTGGATTGAGCAGGGTGGCTCTGGGGCAGTGATCTAGGCTCTGCTGATTGAATTACTCCACCTACGCGGTGGCTAATTGAGGTGGCAGGGTCTGAACAGGCACTCTTTATCTAGATGGGCTATAAATACCCCACAGCGCCACCAAAGATAAAGCCCACTTGCACTCACGTACACACACCCTATTCAGTCCTGTGCCCTTTTAAGGCCTTTCATTGTAGTTTTAGAATGGACATCTAATGCTCGCACACGGAAAAGTAGATGTTCATTAATATACACATAGGATTGTCTCAGGCTGTGTGCTCATGTAAAATGATCAATAATCTACAAGGATTTGGGCCATTTCGGTCATTTTACCACTGTCAGCAGGGCCAATTCAATCAATCAAGGGGTGAAGCATGTAAATTAATGGCCACACTGTAACATCAGGCGTTTTTATGTAACTGAAGTGCTGAAGACTGCAATCACAAATAATTACTGGCAATTGAGGATGACAGAGACAAAGACAAATGATGAGCTGTAGAGAAGGGCAAATGTACCAAGCCGTTCTCATTCCTACTGCGCAGTGTTTTCTGCCTACACAAACAGAATTAAATCATGAGGGAGCTGCGTTAATAAATCTTGTATCCATCTTTACCCACTCAAACTCCCCCTCCATATTCACAAATACACATTTACTGAGAGGGAAAAGCCAGAAAAAACAAACATCCGGTGAACGTCTTCAGACCTCCCTCCATGTTTTCATTAGAAGGAGAATTCCAGATACTTCTCCAGTGACAGAACATACTTGTTATAAAGCTTGCCATTTTGTGAGGGAGGAAAGTCAGTCTTGTTTGGCTGTTCTTTTCACTTTGAGTCAGTTTGTCTACAGATCTAATAGGCTTTCACCCTTCCATCTGGATATCAGATCACTGTGCTAGAACACAGTGAAGCACACCTTATACAGGCCCACAGTTATGTATGTCTTAGCA